GCTGGGAAAATAAATCGCAGGAACCCCTAAAATATACATCAGTCTTATCAGTTGGGCAGACAGACGCGGCAGTTGATGAAATCTGAGGAGGGCACTGGGAAGACTCGCATTTCTGGCATATGTTTGTTAAATTACCCCCAGAGAAGCGTCAGAGCAAACCTTGCGTTTCAAAAGTTACAAAGCACGGGCGTGTGAACGGGCGAAAAACAGGCAATCTGAGGTTACTGGTTAAAGAAGACCAACTGCTGTTGGACGCTATGGGGAAAGCAAACTTGACCGTAACTTTACGCCCATAACCCATTAATTGGCGTAAAACAAGGCCAAACCTTCATTTACTCCTTTTTATCGGCCTGGTCAGAAACTTAATCTTGACACAACATGACTGCTAATATAATATGAGTAGATCTTCTATAATAATAAAAACCTGGGCTTCTCTATTCAGTTATCGCCGTGCTCGATTCGAGCAAATCGGCCCTTAGTACCGAATGGGAGCAAGTACTCATCCGCTGACAGGGGCAATTTCACAAGTGACTGAGCACCCGCACAGATAGGGAGGGTAAATCGGTTATCTCCGGACTATCGACCAGTATCACCTCAATCCTCGGCATCGACGGTTGGTGACCGCGAGTAAGCCGGAAATAGCCATCTCAGTGTTCTTTTATTTGTCCGTACACCTTCCGGGTGACATACTAATTGCAACTCACCATTCAGACACAACACAGAAACGCCTGTTTAGGTCTTATAATCGGGGTGCGTTAATGTATGTTCTCCCGTACTTTCATGAATGGTCTTTCTCAAAATTTGCTAAAAAATAAATGCATTCCAGCATCTTAATTCGAACTGTTATAGGCCGATTCTTAATCTACTCAGAAATTAATGCACTATCTTACAGTTATTCCTTCAGAATGAAGCTTTATAGGTTCAGTCCGAAAGTTTATGAATATCTGACCCGAAATCCAACAGCTGCAACCGGACAGCCGCGTAATATTCATAAGCTGCCAAAAGGCAGTCAGTAGTATATGCATAGGTTGCATCACGCCCCATACCTGGCAGCAGGGGTAGTAGCTAAAATCCCAGACACCTGTTTCGCTGATATTCTGTCGCCTCATTACACAGCTGCGAGGGGTCCAATTCAGCAGTGGGCCCCAGTTTAGAAACTCTCACCCTTTGTGTCCTCTGAATCTAATTGGCTAACTTGGAGTAGAAGCCTCGGTCCAAAAGTTAGTACAAATATCTAAGTCGAAAGGCGTCAGCTTCAGCTTCAGTGCAAATGACCAGTCAGTGACCGATCTCATGAAATGTCGGCCGAAATTCTGTAATGCGTTTTCGATTAGGAAGAATTACTCGAGTGGTATTGTAATGTTGTTCACCGACAGAAACAATCCAGCAAGGGAATGCCACGTAAGCCCACCGGGGGAAACTGTAGCCAGCCGTGACCTTGCCTGTAACGGGTAACCCTAGCCCTAACCACGGACTATAACCCTGAAAGCCTAACGCCAAACCCCAATCATAGCTTCAGCCCCAAATCCAAATTATTACCCAGGCCTAACAACCCTAGCGCTGAAAATAGCCCAGCTCCCAACACACTCTAATTCTAGTCCCAATCCCATCCTTGAGTTAGATAAGTGTAACTTTAACGCCAGTAGCGGTTGTGAAGGTCAAAATCTGCTGATCGCAAAATCCCACTCGAAACCTATCGCCAGGCAAATCGTTATGAATCACACATAGCTGAACAAGAAGGTGGACTTTTGGAAAACCACCCAGCTGGGCTAGATACCATACTCTCGCCTATGATCCCAAAATATTTCAGTCACGCCTGGATGCCGCTTTTGAATGCATGTCTTTTCGACCGCCTGGAAAAACCACACTCGCTAGAAAAATAACTGATTAGGTAGTACGAATTTTTACCATTGGCTTTCGTTGTCCTAAAAGTTCAAACATCCTTTTACAGAAAACGTGCATAAAAATACATTTTCTTTTACTGGCTTGGTGGCAAATCACGTCTTATTCAAATCTGTTTCTTAAAAAGGGATATATATATCTGCTTTAAAAGGTTTTTCAAGTCCCGATCAATTTCGAGCCAAATCAGCCGTTGCATTTGCGTTTTGGAATTTACGGTCTAGAAGCTGCATGCATTCCATTGACACATACCTCTATGCCATCGCGATATTACAATTTAGGAATCGTTAAATTTTTCAGCCGATGTGAACTACGTTGTACACTTCATAGGCGGCATTAACCAACGTACAGATACGATGTCCATATCGTCAAAGCAGAGAGTGCGTACTCAGAACGCGACAATCATTAGGCCAAATTCCGTGTTGCAAGAAAAAAGCATTTCGGATCCCTCTTTCTCAGTGAGGCCAGTCAGACGAATGTGTCGAGGAAATAGACTCACAGTCGTCCAGACACAAAATTGGGACAGAATGCAATGTCAAACGTGTGAAATTTTATCATTGTATATATGACAGCTAGTTGATTTCTAACTTCCCCAGAAATTAACTGCTAACTTGGGGTATATCTGATGATATTAGGGTCTACAGGCGCAGACCGGAATCTGATGTATAAATATTTGGACTGAAGTCCATCACTGACAGCGGGATAACCGCGTGATATTCAGTAACTGCCGAAAGGCGGCTGGTAGTGCATTAGAGGGTAAGGGGATACCATACTAACAGCACTGATATTAGCCAAAAACCCATACACGCGTGTTTCGCCGATATTCTGCCGCTGCATGGCATAGCTGCGAGGGGTTCGGTTTTTCAGTGTGTCCCACAGCATTCCTCGCCTGCTTTCTGATAGATAATCCGGTTTTCCTGTAAGCATTTAATTAATATTACACCGTTACCCTGTTTTGGCTGATGGAGTTTGGGAAAGATGGGGTAATTGGGTTAGGGGGTCATGGTTATGGGCTATGGTTAGGGGTTCGGATTACGGCTAGAGGTTAGAGATAGGAGTTAGGGTTAGAGCAACTATTTCTCAACCACTCAACCTACAACCGCGCATTCCCAATAGGTTTGCGTTTGCATACAACTACTTGGCCTTGTCGCCTGTTATCCCCGGCTTCACATGTAAAACCCCTATTACTACCGGTCTCATGTATTACAGGTGGCTGGGGTTTGTTAACTTCAAGTGGGCTACATAACCACACCTGACCGGACTCTGGCCCAAATATTCACACATCGTCCCGGCCGGGGTGGTGATCATATGACAAGTCAAGCGCAAGAAGCCTGGATGTCCACCGACTGCTCTTTCAACGGCCACATCAATTCGCCTCCCCCCCCCCCCATATCTGACTTAACGAACATTCCTAGCGGGGGACCGTCACGGCGCGGGACAATCGGGGCCGTCAGTCATCTCCGCGGGCGATTCAAGTCACGTTGGCATGGGGGTTGGATGCAGCCACACAGGCGGCATTGGCGGATCACGCATTGTACAAAGGGCGCCATTATAAGGGGAGCTGTGGGCAGGACTTCCCAGTATCTGAAGATTGGTAGACAAATCAACTACTCGAATCGTCGGACCTCCAATAAACCCCTCCCTGTGAACGCCTCTTCTTTTGATATTTGATCCTATACGGATCCTGGAGCTCGTGACCTAAACTTAACGTCAGCACTCGCCTTCTAATTGAAAGATGTCCATAGAGGCTACTGAGCCCTAGCTCGGAATGCTCCTGGACCGTTGATGACGCGTCCCAGCGTTTATCTAGAAATGTTCAGTGACCAGCTGAGGCGGTCGCATGGCCAGCTAATGAAAGGCCGAAAAGGGCCATTCCAGTCATCCTTGTCTTTGTCGACAACACTTCTTTTATCTCGTCGTTATGTATTAGTCTGCGCGGACTGTATGCTTGGAACTGCTGGATAAAGTGAACATACCCCATCTCCGTCCTGCGATCATCTTGTGTCCACGGGTTTCACGGCCACATGACCCCTCGTCGTAGGGATGGTGCTCCAAAAATTTGATTCCCCTCACTGGAGGATGACTTCTCTCTCTCTCTCTAAATCCACCATCCCCGCCGCCCAACGCAACCTCCTCTAGAGACTCACGAGGGCGGACGCATTGGGGTTAGTCCTGTTGAGTGCTAGTTACGTCGAGCGGAGTCGTCGACCTCAGTTCTCTAACGGATGGCATCCAGAAGAGTAGTGTAATCAGGGACTCGCGTTGAAGGCATAGAGACCTTAGGCAGTTGAAGACAGAAAGTCAATGGCGAGGGAGGTCTACTGGCTACAGTTGTGGACAAATGAGTGAGGTTTTCAACTCCCGCTGATCAACTGGCAGGTGAGACAGCGTCGAATTGCGACTGAATTAGACTGCAGTGAGGCAGACTTCGAATCCGAAGAAGAAGAAGAAGCGATCGCTGGAACAAGGGTTTTATTCGCCTGACGTTTCGGATTCTCACTTGACTCCATCATCAGAGACAGTGGCAGAAAAGGGACGAATAAAGCCCTTGTTCCAGCGACCGCTTCTTCTTCTCCTGATCAACTGATTCCTGGAACTCGCATCTTCGCTTGTATCGAGACTTCGAACCATCAACATCATTCACCGGGTCTCGATGGCAGATTTAGTAAGGACTGCAAATGGGTATGCATGCGATTCGGCCACTCGTCGTCTTGCTAACACGCCGTCTACAGTCATTCGAAGTGCTGCGGCAACTGCGCTCAGAGAAGCTTCTCAGAACTCTTGGATGAGGGCTGTGTGAGAGGTGGGACCAAGCTATGTACTCGATGTGACTACCAATCCACCCCAGTTAACCATCCTGATCCGACCACCCCCTGCATCTGTGGCGGTCAGCCATAATGACCGGTCTGGCGTCATTGTTCAAGACCTCGCTGGCTCAAGGTCATTCACCCTTTTCCAGTGAGCCGTTCCAGGCGCGCTGACCTGAAGTCACATGACCGACAGTTCGGGCCGCACAGCCGCAGCTGTCCATGCGGCCACTTGAACGCACCCCTCCCCCCTGCAACCACAACCCAAGCCACTGGGACACCACCCCTCGGCAAATGCAGCACACACTGACTGTACACCACTTGAGCTTGGCCCACGAGCCCACAAAGGCGGCTGCCACCACAGTCTCAGAGACTCTCAGGCATGACTGGACGCAGTCAACACCAGCCCTGGCTTCGTCAGTGGCCACACTGCCGCCTGAGAGGACAACTCTGGTATCTGTATGCATTAAACCCCACATTCTGGTGCGTTCTGTTCTATCTCTACAACTTGGGATCTGACCTGGTGGTTGTGGCGCACAGAGCACTCACTCTCACCGCATAACCATCCTGCTCTCAGTCTCACACGCAATATACCCTCAAGTTGTGTGCTCCCGCCATGTGAAGCTTACAAAAGACGACAATGAGAGGGTCAGAGAGTCTTTAAAAAAATCAAGCAAGGAAAGTAGTCAGGCGCAGCAAGGGGAGGGCCCAGGGTGTGCCCTCCAGGACCAGATGTCAGCAATAGTCCCCTACACGCGCGCACGCGCGCGAGATCGTGTTTAAGTCACCACTGATGTTGTGGCACTTTCAAGGTCACCGCCCCCTCTCAAGGCCACCGCGTTGGCATGGTGACGCAGATGTCGGTCCAGGTTGGTTCGCTGGGCAAAGGAGCGGGCACAGAAGGAACAGGTGAAGGGCTTTTCGAGGTGGTGGATGTTGCGTACATGGCGTTGCATGTTTGAGGAGATACTGAAGCGACGGTTGCACTGGCCACAGCAATATGGCTGCTCCCCCGTGTGCGTGCGCATGTGCCGGTTGAGATTGGCAGAACGGGGAAAGGCCTTGGTGCAATGGGGGCACTGATAGCGGGACTTGTTGGCTGCACTGCCATCGAGATCGCCAGTGCGGTGTCGCGTGCTACTGTCGTTGGTGTTGGTGTTGTCGTTGCTGCGAGGACGAATGAGACAGGATGTTGTCACAACATTCTCAGCCTTGTCCACAGAAGCCTTTGAGAGCCGGGTTGCCAAGGCATCTACCGTGGTATAAGAGGCCGAGTTTAGGACATTTGTGTGTGGGGCAATAAACCGTTTGGCGTAGAACATATGCAAAAAAAATGGTCGCATTGGGAGCTGCACAATAGTGTTTAGAACTCAGAAGAAGAGGAAGGAGAGGAGAGAGAGGAAGAAGAAGAAGAAGAAGAAGAAGAAGAAGAAGAAGATGATGATGATGATGATGATGATGATGATGATGATGATGATGATGATGATGATGATGATGATGATGATGATGATGATGATGATGATGATGATGATGATGATGATGATGATGATGATGATGATGATGATGATGATGATGATGATGATGATGCGATCACTGGAATAAGAAGTTGATTGGCCTGACGTTTCAGACTCTCACTCAGACTCGTCATTAGAGACAGTCTCAATTAGACCAGTAAACTTCTTGTTTCAGCGATCGCATCTACTTCTTCTTCCGGCCTGCTGCCTGACGCTTGCCCGTTCGCTTCTATTGGCAATCTTTTTGGAGGCGATGCGCTCCGATCGGCTTGAAGGTGGAAAACATTCGCCCTTCGAGAGTCGTCTACACATGCACAAGTCTACCGTTTATAAATTCAGCACGGCCACGCCGAAAGGAGGTCAACATTTCTTTGATTTTATTGAAGTGGACGGTTCTCAACATAGAAGGGGTTTTGGCAACGGTATGGAGAAGGATTCCACTGACGGTAGACTGTGGATCACCTCATAGGGGCTTTTGTCTTGGCATCCGTTCGCAGGCCTTTGCAGACATTACACTGCCAATAACAAGCAATTCCCAAGACTTTAAACCATCACTCAAACTTCTTTATTTTTTGAAATTTACTTTAATCTAATTACTACGCTTATTTCCGTTGTCGTATGGAAGCATACGACGAGTCTTCAAGGATAAATCCAAGCAATTTCAGTGTTTTCATGCATTTCTTCAGCTTAATGTCTAGTACCTTGCCCCATCCGTAAAACTCCCTTATCGCCGATCACGCATCACACGACCCGCAGTCTACTGACCGTAAAGTGGGGTCCTTCTCCATACACTTGCCACGGTTTTTTGTGGATAAATAAATAACATAAACTGCAGTAGCCAGTAGTGTTCATGAGACCTTGAGACAGCTTTCTGGGAAAGTAGGGTATTCTGTATTCTGGATGGCTTCTAAAACTCGGAATACTTGTTTTCTAGCGAGAAAAACTTTCGTCTGGCGTGTGCATTTGCTGATTGAGGTGAGTTCCCGGAAGCAGTTTAGAAGACGACGATACGATTACTGGAACAAGAAATTTATTGACCTGACGTCTCGGACTCTCGCTCGAACCCATAATCAGAGGCATTTGCGTAAAATAAAGTTGCTGGGCACATAAAAACAAAAACGTTTGCGATTAAAAACTGTATTTAGTACTTTTACATTCCCAGCACTGATAAACAAGGGTCCAATATGTGACCTTACGCATGAAACATGATGATGTAAACCGATATAATAATTTCAGAAACCTAAAATGTTGCGCATGGTGCTCGTTCGTCTAGTCTCTTCCGAAAAACGCCCTTTTTTCGTACAGAATATGTGTCTAAGTAGTTTTTTCAGGTAAAAAGTTTTATAAACATGGACAGAAATATACAGTTTCCTCTATACGGGCAACCTCCTATGCTTATAGCCGTCCTACACTTATTTTGCGCATCGGAGCTTTCAGCGGAGAGTAATTTAACTTTGAAAGTTTTACCAAACAAAATATTTGGCACTTAAAAATCGAATTTTATCTGGCATTATCCTTACGATGAAAGTTGCAGACAAACAGACTATTTTTAGGAATCAAGATGCTTTATCGATTTCTAAATGCCAGGTTTGTAAACCTGTGTGATTTTGTGACCAAAAGGGCGGTAATATCGCAT